TGGGTTTTGAGAATCAGCTACTGCATAGAACTTGGATGTGAGGGTGGCTGGAGTAGAAGCAGGGTAACTTTTTTTAGGATGTTGTCATTGTTCTAGTCACCTATTCAGGCTGTGGGACTGAGATGAAGCCTTAACAAGTGGTGAGCACAGTATAGAAAAATGACCTATTAGGGAAACATTATCAAGTGATTAGCCCTCAGGCCAGGCAAATGTCTTAGTTCATTTTGTTTGGCTGAAACAAAATACCTATAGAAGAGAGAGTGTTGGGAGCCAAAAGTTGAGTCTCTCAACATAACAGGCTTGATAGGTTCGCCCCTCCTCCTATAGGTCCCTCTGCTTGGGGAAGGATGCAGCTATGGGAGGAAGAAAAAATGCTCTAATCAAGGTAAGACTGCAGGGGGATGGATCCGCGAGATCCCAAAACCCAAGACCCGTGAGTGGCAAGCTCTGGTGCATGACGGTTGGCATGCATACCCACAAGCGGTCTCCTCAAAAATCATGCCAAGGCCTATAAAATTCCCCAAGCCCAAGTGAGGAAGCTCACTCGGGAGAGGAGAAAAACCCTGAGCCCTTAGAGGACCAGACTCTCTGTCACCCCCTTAAAAAGAGCAGCCAACAATTGATGGTCAATTTTCGAAATAAGAAAGGGGGAGATGTCGGGAGCCAAAAGTTGTCTCTCAACATAATAGGCTTGACTATCTCACTGGAACATCTTGAGGCTGAGTTTACAGAATCCTACCCTCATCTTGCTCTAAGTAAACATACTGCAACTGCTAACGACCACCCTTTCCCCCTGCCCTAAGCAAACATCCTGCACTGCTACAGCCAATGAAAAAGCTTCCTTAATGGCCAATGAAAAAGCTTCCTTATTCCAAGCATATAAATACCCCTGTGTGAAAAATAAAAATTTGCTGTTTGATCAGAACCCTTGTCTTGCTGTCATTCTTTGTGTCTCTTGTCCCTTCATTGTTTCTAGCTTAGGTTCACTGCCCTCATTGACGTCCTGCGGGTCGGGACAAGAGAGATCATTTCATTTTCTTTTTATCTATAAAAATGTTTTTATCTTTAAGTAGTTATACAAATAAGTTTCAATTCAACATATCAATAAATGAATCCATTGACCTCTACCTAGAAATGCCCTTCTTGCTCTGTCATTCATGGCACAAGGTGGAAGGAAGAGAACACACATGAGAGATCAAGAAGGGGCCAAACTTATTTTATACAGAACCCTCTCTGAGTATAATATAAACATTTCTTCAATGTTGATATCATTGTCTGTTGGGGGAGGCTAATCTTCATCTTCCCTTTACTTCTTTAATTTTCCCACCTCTCCACTACTAATGTTCCCATCCATCAACTTGAGGGACACATTCAAACCACAGCCCTGAGGGAGGAGTCAGGATGGTGTCAGTTTGGGTATGGATATATGGGTGGATTGGGTAGGGGGGCAGTCTTGGAGACAGGATCAACAAAAAGAGACATAGGCTGAGTCCAAATTCAGGAGTTGAAGCTCCAGTGGAATGTGGGGAACACAGGCAGCAAAGATGGCCCTGAGAGGAAGTTGAGTGGGCAGAGCCTGATTTGTTTAGTTCAGTGCATAAACAGCTTGTGGAAGCTTAGGTGAATGATAAGTTGTGACCTTTACAGTGATTGGTTGGTTCCATTTCCTCTCCTCCCATGCAGACTTTTGCTTTAAAAAGGGCTTGCTCAGTATTAATAAATGAGTTCCTGCTTGTCTTGACTCCCCTCTGCCTCTCAATGTCTCCTGGTATAAGGGAGGCTGGAGAACGGGGGAGGGGCCGCACTTACCTTTCCTCTGACCCGTGCATCAAAGACCCAACAGTGGGATGGCTGTACACAGCTCTAGATTTTCCAAGACTGAGTTAGAATGAACATCTCTGTCCTCAGGAAGTCCAATGAGATGAACCCTTATGAGAGCCCACATGGAGAAGAGCAGAAGAGATGGAGAAGAGCAAGCTGCAGAGACCACAATAGCATATTTGACTGGACTGGGGAGGGGTGCTGTGAGAAGGTACCATGCCAGTAGCACTGTGCAAGCTGCTGCGGGATCCACTTAAGAAAAGCCAAATATTTGTAATTTTATTTCACCAGTCCTGGAACTTGAACTCAGCCTGGGTGCTGAACTTCTTTTGCTCAAGGCTAGTGCTCTATAACTTGAGCCACAATGCCACTTCCAGCTTTTACTGCATAGTTTATTGGAGATAAGTGTCTCACAGACTTTCCTGCGTGGGCTAGTTTTGAACCCTGATCCTCAGCTCTTAGCCTCTTGAGTAGCTACGATTACAGTCATGAGACACTGGCACTTGGCTTCCCAACATCTTTAATAGTCCATGCTTACATGGGATTATTTAGAAGAGGACCTCAGCTGAGCACCAGTACCAGTGACTCATGCCTATAATCCTAGCTACTGGGAAGGCTGAGATTTGAGAATCACAGTTTAATCCAGCCTAGGCAGGATTGTCCAAGGGACTCTTAGCTCCAATGAACTACCCAAAAGCCAGAAGTGAAGCTGTGGCTCAAGTGGTAGAGCACTAGCCTTGAGCAAAAACACACAGGGACCACACCCAAGCCTTGAATTCAAGCCCAGAATCAGGGAAAAAAAGAGGATCTCAGAAAATTTATTCAGTTGCATATCCTCCAAACTTTTATTTCCTCTTATATTCTGACTTACATATTTCAGTGATTTGTCTCCCTCCCATGTAAGCATGGAAGGGGAACTTTCCCCAGACTGGGAAACTTTCAAACAGAAGGGGGCACATTTTAATAGACAATCACTTAAAAGATGCTCTGCTGGACACGGTGAGTGAACTAAAAGTTCTGCTTTGTCTCAGTGTCCTGTGATCTGAGCTTTTGTCTGCTGCAGTTTCTTTGACATCACTTGTTCACCAGAGAAAAGAGAAGATTCGGTGATGACAACTATCTTGCATGGGAAGCAGACTTGCCCCTCCAACAAACAATGTCTTCTCTTTATTATCATAAAGTTCAGGAGACCTGAATCATTCCTGTTCTCCCAATAATAAAGTGACCATGACTTTTCCAGAATCCTTCCTGGGACCAAGACTGCACTAATGGTCAATTAAGACACACCTGTGGCTTAGGATTGTTTTCACTATGTATACTACTCTTATCCTCTGATCCCAATTCTCCTTATTTAATATGAAGCTAATTTCTATACCTCTAAAGATTGCTGCAGATGGACTGAAGTGCTGTCTTTCCTTCATGACCATGGAATAAATCTCCTTTCTCTGCCCAGAAACAGAAAGCAATCATTCACCACAGTTTTCAAGAAAAAAGCTAATAAAACGCAACCTGCTCCAGCCACACCTGTGTCCCTCTCACCTGAACTTATCAGCCATGATAAGTTCAGGTCCTCAACACCCACCTACTGTTCCTAGAACAGTGCCTCCAGACCCTCTCACTTATTGTCATGGTGTTTCATTTGATATACATCAATTATTTCTCTGGCAAAAAGTGAACCTCTTTGTGTAAGTCTGCCAACACAAGAGTTTGGTACCCCAGCAATCATTTACTGCCCAGAGTAGTGTAGGGTGAAGACAAAAGAAAAGATACACTATCCTGACAGGTCAGATCTGTGTTCAAAAGCTTTGGTTTCTTAGAGGAAACCAAGACATCAGCAGAAAATTCCCAGAGTAATTTCATAGCAGCAGATGGAGTGATGAGACATCCTTCTCAATTCTGCAGCCCTGGAGTGCTGCTCATATGACAGAGGTAAAACTTCTGTGCTAGTCATCCTCCTGCCTGGGTTTGTGGTGATGAAGCAGTAACTAACCTTTGGCCCAGCTCTAAAGTTTCCACTAGTAACTGCCCTGTAGACACAGGGCCCTGTGATCCTGAGCCCAGTCCTGGGCTGGAGTCTGCGCCCCAGTTCTGCAGGCAAGTTCTGGGTGGTGGCAGGATGTTTGTGTGCCTTGTGTGCTATATATGCACCTGCTGCTGTGGAGATGTGTCTTGGCCCAGCCCTCCTGTGGCCACACCCTCGAATGTGTGGGTTTTTTTTTTCTGAGTGAAGTGTACTTTCTGCTTGGCGTACAGGAAGGTATTTCCTTCTTTCTTGGTGGCCTAGGACCCACAGAGTTCTGAAGACACTTGAAAAAGGGCAGCCCAGAGCACAGTCCTGAGCTCTGAGCTTAGCCTTAGCATTGAATCTACACACACACACACACACACACACACACACACACACACACACACACAGTACACAGCACACACAGCCTCCAAGAAGCATTGCAGCTCAAGATGGGATTTCAGGAATCTTGAAGCATGGAACAGCAAGGATCCTAATGCTAATCAGTGAGTACCACCCTTACCTATATTGCTGTCCCTTACTCCTGCAGCCTCCGTTCCATTATCCTCCCATCCTCCTCCTGTTTCCTGCTCCACTTCACATTTCCTGACTATTCTTGGGCCCTGTCCAGGAGCCCCACATAATCTGACCACCTTGAGTGTTTTCCAGTCTCCCAGGGCTCCTCTTTACTATGACTTTTCCTATCTCTCTGCTTCCCTCCACCCACACCATTTTTAGCTGATGCCTTGGGGGTTAGAGACTGGGTTCTGAATGCTGATTAGGAGTTGTTTACCCAGCAAACAGAAATTATCCACACTAAGAGTCTCCAATTGGGAATTGGGAGGACCCAAGGCACAAGGAGATCAAGTCCTCTGCCTGCCTCATGCCCTTCACTTCCCACCCTCTGTGTTTGTCTCTAAGGAGATCTTGTACAGGGAACAAGCCAAGCTTTGGGGGCCACCACCTGGAGCTACTACAGAAGCAGGCTCTAAAAGAGTTCCAGCTATGGCTGCTCAACAAAGCACTCCTAAAAAGCACCGCCAGGTGCAAAGTTGTTCAGTCAGAAAAAGCAAGTGGAATGAAGACAACCTCAGGACTGATGGCTTAGTTCAGAGGCAAGGATCTAACCCCAGGTACGTGGCCTATGGAAGTTGTGGCCCAATGACTAACGGCTATGGATATCAAGTAAGTAAGCAAGAGCCCAACCCACTCCTATTGATACCTAAATGCCAACCTCTCCTCAGGTGGTGACTTGCATGGCCCTAGTCCAAGGATTCCAGCTCACCCTAGATGAGAGCTGGGAGGCTGACTGGGGAGGCCTTACTGGACAACAGAGTCCCACATTCTCTTCTATTCCAGCGCATTCCCAGACCCCATGTGATTCCCATAACACCCAGGATAAAGTCTTCCAGGGCTGAACAGGGGAGAGACTGCCATTCAGAATGGCACTACAGGGATAGATATGAGTTCAAGACTAGCTTCCAAGAGGAGTGCTTGCTCAGCAATGAAGTTATGAGTACAGATTTGGGAGCTGAAGGGGAAATCACTTCACTGTCTGCCTTTGTTTCTTCATCTGTAAAATGAAGAGATGAGCCCCTTGGATTTGTAGGAATTAAAAGTGATCATATAAAGTAAACATTTACCAGAGTCAAATGTTCAACAACTAGGAGTGCTTGCTATTGCTTTTGCTATTGCCACTGCTGCTGCTCTGATCACGATTCATATAACTGCAGGGTGGAAGCTCATAGTCCCCCATGTGAGTGCCAAGACTGAGAGAGGAATGGTAATTACACAGAGGAGCAGTGAAAACCAGACCAGGGCCATGGATTTCCTGTATCTCAAATCAGAACGTTTCCTAGCAGCACATATGAGAGCTTCACTTTCTGCATGAGCTTTTGGGGAATTGTGTGCAGGCTGCAGCACATTTGTAGGATCTTAGTGCCCACTGCTAAGACATGGCTCCTTAGTAATGTAAAGAAAACCAGCCTCAGTGCCCTGGCTCCTGCCCCTGCCTTTAATAAGCCTCCAACCTCACTGTGTCCTTCCCCATAGGCCAGTCTCTGTCAAGGGTCCCCCCAAATCACCTCAAACATGGAGTTCCTCAACTGCCCTAGCAAATCTCCTAACTCATTTCATTCCTGTCATTTTTCTCTCTAGAAAACCACTCTCTCAATCACACTCAGGAACGCCAACAACATCAATCACTAAACAAGGAGCCCAACATTCCACATCCCCAGAGACACGGGTCATCCACTCAGAAAAAGTTTATGGATGTGACACAAAGTCAAGAAATCTAAGAATATTAGAGATACAACGGCCTCTTGCTAAAGCAGATGAAAACTACCACATAGGTGAGGCCAACCTGACTGACTCTGTGTGTCTGTGTGTCTATGTATCTGTGTGTGTGTGTGTGTGTTTCTTTGTGTCTGTGTGTGTGTGTGTGTGTGTGTGTGTTCAGGTACTTATGGTCCTAGGGCTTAAACTGAGTGGTTGGGCACTGTCCTTGAGCTTTTTCTGCTCAAGGATACTGTGAGGAAACTGAGTCATGAGTGTTCAGAAAGATCAAATGGAGACAAGACAGGCTTTAATCATGGCTGCAGAGGGACACCATGTAACACGGAGGAGGATCAGAGGAGCAAAGAGGGGAGAAATCTGAAGCTTAGGTACAATTTTTCAAGGACACATGTAGAATTGAGTTAGGTTCAAGGGTAGCAGACAGTAAAGTAGACATTATGACAAACATTTAGGCCAAAAGTCTACATTGCCATCTATTGTGGCTGAAAAGAATTATTTAAATTTAGTTTTGTTTGTGATTTGAATTTTATGTTGTGTTAGGTGAGAATGATCCCAAGAACTACTCAGGATGGGAGTTCCTGATAAGCGGTCCCAGGAAGGGCAAGGGAGCTCAGTGGGCCATGGGAGCACATTGGGTTATAAAAACAATCAAGACAGATTCCCATCACTTCAGACCCTGAAGGGATATAAAAAGTTGAAGGGCATTGTGGTCTTTTCTGGCTAGTTCCTGCTGCCTTAGGGGCCCCTGAGATCACTGGGGCCAGGGTCTTCAGGGGCCAGTTCTGCATTGGTCAGGGAGGTGTTAAGCGAAGCGTTCAGTGGCCTGCAGTAGTAGATGGCCTTGACTTGCTCCAGGGCGTAGGCTTGTATGATGGCTGTTATGAGATTGATGAAAAAATTCTGAAAATATTTTTTTAGTAATGTAAAAGGTTAAGATAAGAATGATCACTAGAGATAGAATTATCACTGGCAGAAGCCAGGAGATCTGACTACAGACATTACTCCATTGATTAAAAAGAAAGAATAAAAAATGATTACAAGGGATGGTGTTATCAATGTTAGGAGCCTGCATGTCTGGCTCTGGATGCTACTCCACTGACTCCCAGAGTTCACATAGAAGAAAGATGAGGCTCACAAGGAGACTGGCGAGTATTGTCACAGCCACGCCACCCAATACAGGGGAAGGTTTGTGAAGGTTCCCTTTTGAAGCCATTGACTTCAATAAAAACAAGCAACCCTGGTAGAACTTTTATTGAGAGGTGGGGGGAGGGTGGGGGGGGCTAGAGGAAATAGCTAACAGCAGAGTTTACAAATCCAGTCAATAAAGACCTAGGTCAAGATCTTCCCTCACCTACTTAGGCAGCTGAAGACATGAGCTGGTGAAGGTGGAGACTTCTAGTTGCACAGAGCCAACATTTTGGCCACAGGGTGGGGAGGATAATTGGATGGGATGAACAGGGGTGCAAAATCCCCCATGTTGGTAGGCTCAAAGGAGTGTAAAAAGCCCCTGTTGGTCTGGCTCTCTGAAAGCCACTATTTGTGAAAGGAAAAAAAGAGAAAGGAAGAAAGAGGAGAGAGGAAAGAAGAGGAGAAGACAGTAGAGGAAAGACAAAGAGAGAGAGAGAGAGAGAGTCTCTTAAAACTGAGTTTGCCTATCAAGTCAATTTGCCTACGTCAAGGCCTAGCATCCTTTCCTAGCAGCTCACAAGCTAGAACCAGGGATTCTGGGTCCCTTTCTGACCATCATTCATTTATAGTAAGCAGGAGGAACCAACTGGCGCTCAGAAAGTCTCTTGGGAGGAAAGAAAAAAGGGGAGATGGTGGGAGAGAGATAGTGGAATGTTGTATCCCCTACAAGGACCAGAATCCACCGGGGGAACACTGTTCCTGATGAGGTTGCCATCTGTTGGAAACTGAGTCATGAGCATTAGGAACAATCAAGTAGATGACAGGAGACAAAGGAGTCAGAGACCTCAGCAGACATGAGCAGGCTTTAATCGTTATGGCAGAAGAATCCGTGCAACACTGAGCAGGGTCAGAGAAACAAAGAGTGGGGAATGAAGTGGATCTGAAGCTTAAGTATAATTTGTCAAGGACACATATTGAATTGAGTTATGGTGGACAGTAGAAGGCAGTCATGTTCATTATGATGAACATTTAGGTCACAAGGTCACATTGCCCTCTGTGGTGGCTGAAAAGAATGGTTTAAGTTTAGATGATTCCGGGTGTGTGTGCATTCCCAAGAACTGCTCAGATGATAGTTTACAATAAGGGGTTCTAGGGAGGTGGGGAGAACTCAGTAGGCCCTGGGAGCCACACTGGGTTCATTAAAAAAAAAAAAAGCAACACAGATTCCCATCAGCTACCATTCTACCACCTGACTCATAACTCCACCACTGGCTTTTTGGTGGTTAATTGGAGATAAGACTCTCCTAGGCTTTCCTGCCCAGGTTGGGTTTGAACTGTAATCCTCAGCTCTCAGCCTCCTGAAATGCTAGGGTGACAGGCATGAGCCACCAGCACCAGCTTTCTTTCTTTCTTTTTCTTTCTTTACTTGTTTTTTTGAGGGGAACAGCAAAGGCATGAACCAAGAGTCAGTCCCCTGGGGACCTGATTGAAAGACTGAACGCAAAAGACCTAGAAATCCTCTGAAACAATTCTACCAACTTTTCCTTGGAAGTCTCAATAATGGACTCTGACACTGCCTCCAAGAAGCCCCGGGTATTAAAATGCAGGTTCATTCTTCAGAACAGGAAACACACCACCTGGCTTAGTGGGCAGGGCACTGGCCTGGGATCAGGAAAGTAGTATTTGGTTCCCACAGGGGCCCTCAGCATCTCTCTATCCAGGTGCCTATAACAAGTCATGTTCCTTCAAATGACCTCAATCCAGGTCAGGTCTTGGTCCCAGGGCTTCACTTGCATGCTCTACAATTTCACAACCACTCTGTGACAGAAAGACAACTATTGTCCCACTGTAGAGATGAACAAAGCTCTAAAGTTAAAGTCACACAGTTAGTGGCAGAGCTGGAATTAAACTATCACTGTCTCCTTCACCATAGTCCACATCTCTATCTTATTAAGCACTGAAGTCCTATGCCTTATGACATCTGGGTAATGAGGACAGGTACACCAAAGCCACGGGCACACAGGGTTCAGTGGCATGGTCTTAACCATCAATTACACTGCCTCTCAGCATTAGGAGATGCCACCTTGGAAATCTTAGAGATGTTCAATTAATAGGATTTGTTCTACATGAATTTAGGAATAAACTCATAGACTTCATGGTTCTAAAATGTGGTCCATGCTCCATGTATATTGATTAACTTCATAAGTCATACCACTCCTCATCCAAAATGGGGAAAAAAGAATAAAGTGTCACTGGGTGGAGATGAGTTGAGTAGTTTCCTTTAAATGCAAGAATTCATAGGGCTGGGAAGTTGGCTCAGTGCTCGCCTCACATGCATGAGGCCATGGGTTCGATTCCCAGCACCACATAAACGGAAAAAGCTGGAAGTGGTGCTGTGGCTCATGTTGTAGAGCACTAGGCTTGAGCTGAAGAGCTGAGAGACAGCACCCAGGCCCAGAATTCAAGCACCCTACCGAAAAAAAAATTCAGGAGTGCATGCTCTTATAGTGAGAGACACACTACTCCTTGGACTGTTAGGGCATTTATAGGATAAAGGCAGGGGGTCTAGATTTCAAGTTATGCAAAGCTGGTTTCTTTGTCTTTACTCTAACCACATCTGACATTATTTTCTGAGTTTCCAAGTACGAATGCATCCTGCCAAAAAACAAATCCTATCTTTGAGATAAGGCAGCACCTTGCTATTTGCCTTTTAAGCCAGGTGGCTTAAGTTTGGGAAGGCATTCTTCTCAGAAAGGCATACATAAATGCATCCATCAGGAATGAATGCAACCTGTTGTCTCTTGAAGCAATGATACCATTTCTATGTTTCTAAATGCTATATTTCCAAGTTGCTTTCACCAGGCCTCAGTTTCCTTAAGTTTTCCTGCTTCACCAAATGACTTTGTTCCCATAATCTTAATGGAAATGAAGGAATATCTCCTGTAATTGCTGTAAGCTGACTATACCTCCTTTTTTCTTAGTCCATCTGGCTTCAGAAGGAAATAAGGAAGGAAGAAAGAAAGGAAAAAGCAAGGAAGGAAGAAAGGACTAGAATCATCTTACAGAAACATGCAAATGAACTAAACGTTAAAATGATATATGCAAAAATGGAAATGAAAAAAGTGGGAGGACAAATTAGTAGGAATAAAAGATATTTATGTTAGTGGTGAGTGTCCAAGCAAGTAGCACAATGGACATATATAAAAGGGATTTAATGGTAGCTTTCATACATAAGAAAAGGCTGATTCTATAGAATTGCATTTTAAATACTTTTATTAGTTGTATAAAGGTGTGGCCATTAATCAAAGCAGTTAATGAATACAATGGGTCTTGGTCAATGTCACCTCTCAACAAAGAATTGCTTATTTTCACCTGACTTTAAATTCTAAGGGAATTCTTCGGTGGAGCACTTGAATAAAATAGCATCTCAGAACAAGTACAAAACCCATATGGCATTTTTTGAAATATTAGAAGCACAGGTAGAGATATGTGTGTAAAGACAGAACAATCATATGTGGGTTTTTGCTAGACTCCAGTAATCCTATCTACTCAGGATCTGAGATCTGAGAATCACAGTTTGAAGCCAGCCTGGACAGAAAAGTCTATGAGACTCTTAATTCCAATTCATCAACAAAAAGCCAGTAGGGGGAATATGCCTCAAGGGTCAAGCACCAGCCTCAAGTGAAAATGTTAAGGGAGGAGTCCAGGCCCCGAAAACAAGGCCCTATATCTCACCACCCAAAGTATGTTTTATAGGTCTTCATTGCAACTATCTAAGCCTGCTCTCATAGCCTTCAAGTAGTCAGAGAAACAGTGGAAATTCAGTCTTTATTCTAGCCACTGAAGCAGTGTCCTTGATACATATTTAAAAAAGGAAAGAAAGTCATTCATCTGGTTTGGTCACATCAGGACTTGAACTAGAATCCTCTCTGTCTAAGTTCATGTTCCCTCACTGTGCTACCAAGAATGCTCCACGGTCTGCAGTTGATGTGACATGTAGCTTAGAGTCTGCACAAAGTTCATGATTGTTTAACAAACAAATAAATCATAAATCATTCTAACCCATTCATTTATGTTCCCTCTACTCTCCCTTACTTAGAAGCCAGAAAAATAAGATCCAAGAACGAGAAGACAAAGAAGTCTTTCCCTTGGAAAGATGAGTATTTCACTCAACTGCTACTTCTACAAAAACCTTACCCCAAAGGCCAGGAGCCCCTCTTCAGGAAAAGCTGGCATCAGGATGAAGTGGAGGAGAGAGGACAGTTGATTGACATCAAAGATTTATTTGGCCCACGTCTAGACACTCAGGGACAATCTCCAACAGTCATACTGTATGGGTCTGCCGGAATTGGGAAATCAACTCTGGCCAGGCAGGTGAGAGCAGCCTGGGAAGAAGGGCGGCTGTACAGGGACCTATTCCAGCACATCTTTTTCATCAGTTGCAGGGAGCTAGACCAGCATGGCATTTTGAGTCTGGCTGAGCTTCTTGAAAATGACCCAGCTGTCCCAGAAGTTCCCATTCATGAGATCCTGTCTAGGCCAGAGCAGCTGCTCTTCATCTTAGATGGTGTGGATGAGTTACTATGGACTCTAGAGAGGAAGAAGTCTTGCCTTGTTCTACCCTGGAGCAAGAGTCAGCCCATTTACATGCTACTGAGTAATTTGCCAATTTACATGCTACTGAGCAATTTGCTGAGTAGAATCATGCTTCCTGAGGCTTCCCTGCTCATCACAGCGCGGACCACAGCACTCTCTAAGCTCATCCCTATCTTGAAGCAGCCATGTCAGGTGGAAGTCCTGGGCTTCGCTGAGTTCCGCAGGAAGGAATATTTCTACAAATATTTCTCAGATGAGAGCCAAGCACTCAAAGCCTTTAGCTTGGTTGAATCAAACCCCGAACTCTTGACTCTGTGTCTAGTGCCCTGGGTGTCGTGGCTGGTCTGCACATGCCTCAAGCAACAGATGGAGCGAGGGGAGGAGCTTCCACTCACCTCCCAGACCACCACAGCCCTCTGTCTGCACTACCTTGTCCAGAATCTCCCAGCTCAGCTCATGGGGACACATCTCATGGGGATCTGCTCCCTGGCTGCTGAAGGCATCCGTTTGAGAAAGACTGTATTCACTATAGATGACTTGAGGAAGTATGGTTTAAGACAGGATGTCATTTCCAATTTCATAGGGATTGGTATCCTTCAAGACCACCAATCTATGAGCTACAGCTTCACTCACCTCTGTTTCCAGGAGTTCCTCGCAGCAGTGGTTTTTGCTTTATGGGATGAATATCCTAACTTCCTGATAGCAGAGAAAGACTTGCCAGTAGAGTATAGAAAGCATAGCCTGTTTGAAGAACCAACCATTCAATTCCTCTTTGGTCTTTTAAGTGAACAAGTAACAAAAGAGATGAAATGCATTACCCACCAGCTGCCTCAGATGGAGAAATGGAAGCTGCTATATTGGGCAGAGATGAAATCCAGGTACGAGCAGCCATTTTCGCTGGAAGTGCTTCACTGTCTTTATGAGACTCAGGATGAAGACTTTCTGACCCAAGTTATGCAAAGGTTCTTGAGAGCCAGAATGTACCTTCGTACAGACATGGAGCTTCTGGTGGCCACTTTCTGTATTAAATTCTGCAGCCATGTGAGGAGGCTTCAGCTGATTGGACCGCAGAGACAAGTACGGAGATTCCCTGGAGTAGTTCTGTGAGTATCCCACCAAACCCTTCCTCCAGCTCCTCTGTGTCCCAAGAGCCCCGTTGTTCTGTGCACCAGAAACACACTCAATCTGGCCCCAGGGCTCTGGATGGAGGTCATTGGTGACTTCTAACTGCCCAAACTGACGTCCATTGTCTGCCCACCCAAGAGCTTTGGTACAACTGTGTGACTGACCGACCTGCCTAGTCCTGCAGTCCCTCTTCCTAGCTCTAAGAGGGCCTCCACCTCCTCTTCTGGGCACTCTCCCAACTTCATGCTGATCTTCACATGGTCCTAACCTCTCCAAGACTCAGAAAAACCTGCCTCTGAGCCTCGCTTTTCATTGGCTTTCTCTCAGAAATTGTCACTCAGGCACTTCAGATACTCCCTTCCCCATTTCAGTGACCTTGGCCTTGAGACCATTTCTCATCACCTCAGAATACAGGTGTCTGAGAAGAAATGTTGAGTTTTACCTGGAATCCTGGTTCCTTGTTTATGTCTGTTGTAGGCAGTCAACCTGAATCCAAATGGGAGCTTGGAAGTGTAGTGCTCTCTAACCACCCTCAACCTAACTGCATTGAGAATGTCCCCTGCCTCTCACCATGCCAGCCCTGGGCAGCGGTGTGTTAGCTGATGATTTTAACTCTTCAAAAATTCACTCACTAAGCATTCAGCTTTCCAGGCCTTAAATATCGTAATTGTAGAGCAAAATCCTTAAAGTGCTCAGAAACTAGGAGAGAAGACATATCAGGCAGCAATGCCAATACAGGGATACAATATAATACAATAACAAAGGTACAGAGGAAGAAGTGGTCAACATGGGGAGCAGAAAGGGAAAGATCTCAAAGGAAGAAATGGTCTACTTATATGATTCCTCTATTTTCAGACTTTATAAAGAGGTTTATCATGATAATAACCCATGTTCCTTGAGAAAGGATAATTACAAAGAAGGAAATGTCAATCACAGGTTTGGAGGTGCGCTAAGTTGGTAGAGCACTAACCAGTGAGTGAAAGCATCAGATCCTAAATTCAAGTCCCTGTCTCAGACCAAAAAAAGAAAGAAAAAGAAAATATAAATCACAATTATATCATGCAGTAATGAAGTATACCTATGGAGTCATTTTTCTATGTCCTCCTATAGGGAAATTGAACCATGCTATATAGTTTATCTTGTAATCAGCTTTAGTTAGGCTATACCTCCTTTTACTGAGAAGGCTGATATAACACTAGTCCAAAGGTCATGTGCTGTTCCCTTGGGAGAGCTTTATGGCTGATCCCACCACTGCCCTGGTCTCCTACCTGTAAGTTTGTTTCTAATTGTTCATGGTGATACCATGAGTTGAGTTTGAGGCTTGACATGGGTTTTCAGAAGAGCTCTGAATAGGAATAGGACAGAATCCAGAGAGTGCAGAAGGAGCCAGGGATACCAGGTCAGAGCCAGCGAGTTTGGAATGGACCATGGCTTGTGGAGATTGGAGAGGATCTTGGGAAAGTTGGAGCTTCTGCTCCTGAAGTAGAGAGAAGTGAAAGGCCCTGAGTCAGCCAGGAAGGGCAGGGGGCAGGAAGGAGGCTGCTGAACACAGACATGGTGAAGACTGGCCCCAGCTGTGGAGCAGCCTGTGATAGGAAGGAGTGAGGTTGGCGGAGGAGAGGCTTCCGGGTTCCTTGGTTCATAATTAAACCTCATGCATTTGGATAATCAAGTCTTAATTTTTTTTCAAACAATGTATATGTGATACAAGCATCAAAAAAGATATCACTTGCAAATTTTATTCATTGGTATCTTTTACATTAAATTCATTTTGTTAAATTGGAATAATATAGTTTATAACTTTTGCTACAGTCACTATTGGACTACTGTAATGTTTTTTAAGAATATGCACTGTTTATATTTCTGAAGCTGTTAAAAGGTTCCACAGAATGTACACCTTTGGGGGGCTCAGGAATGCTTCATAATCCTCACAAACCCTCTTCACAGCAGGTACTATTATTACCTTGGTTTTACAGATTAATAAATGTTTACAGAACTAGGCCTAGCATGCAGCCTGCTGGCTTCAGAGTCTCATCTCCCTCTACATACAAGCATTTCAGGCTTGAGAGAAAGCTGGATAGTTAGAGACATATTGAAACCTACTGGGTCAAGAGTTACTGGGCTACTGAAGTGGAGATATCTGAAAAGAAACAAGAATATCATTATGTAGTTTGAAGCACAACTTAAGAGATAGAATGAGCAGCCACATAGAGGAGGGGTCAGGTGTTGGGGACAAAGGGCAGTTATGTAGGATGGTCAGTCCTGGAAATGGCACTGTCCATGGAGGCCTGGTGCTCACAGAACTCCTGCACTATTGTACAGGGCTGCCCAGCTCAGACCCTGTCTACCCATGATACACTTCTCCTGGTCCTCTCTCTGCCTCAGGTCCATGTGGGCCCCACTCACTGATACCTCGTGGAAGGTTCTCTTCTCCACTCTCAAGGTCAGTGGAAGCCTGAAGGAATTGGACTTAAGTGGCAATCCACTGAGTTGTTCTGCAGTGCAGAGTCTGTGTGAGACCCTAAGACACCCCCAGTGCCATCTGGAGACCTTGAGGTGAGTCAGAGCTGGGCTGGGCTATCCCCAAAACGGAGATGGGCAAGCGATCAAAGGCAAAAGCCAAGTACAGAACTTGGCTTGGTTTCTGTAGCCATCAAATATTCATGGATCCACCATCTGACCAAGACTTGGAGAGATGCAAGCGTTATTGTGGTAAACAAAGATCTTTGGAAGCCAGGCACAAGTGGCTCACACCTATGATCCTAGATGTTCAGGAGGCTGAAATCTGAAGATCACGGATAAAAGCCAGTCAGGTCAGGAAAGTCCATGAGACTCTAATTTCCAATTAACCACCAGAAAACCAGACGTGGCACTGTGTTTCCAAGTGATGAAGCACTAGCTTTGAGCAAAAAAGCTGAAGGACAATGGACAGGCCCTGGGTTCAAGCCTTATGACCACCTAAAGAAAAATCTTTCCACAGTTTGCTAAAGATAGTAAGCAATGAGCTATGCTCATGTTGCCTGGATGCTGACTTTCTGGGCTTACCGTTGATATCTCAACACTGGGAACAGTGAGGAAAAAAAATTGTCTGTGGACAAGTGCTCTCAAATGCCAAGTGCTGGGACACACCTTCCATACAGCTCACCTTGGACTTTCAGATATGTGAGGAAGTTCAGAGGGACCAAAAAGTAAACAGGTGGGGCTAATGGGCAGGCAGTTATTATTTGATGAAGGAGAGAAGGGGACGATAAAATGGGAGACGTCTTTGGTATCCAAACTAAAGAAGCATAACCTGTCTCCAAGGTCAGCTCCCTACCTCCTTCCTGCACCTTCTACAGCTGCCTGTCAGGTCTCCATCTGCAACTCTCGATCCAATGATACATCCTCCTGTGGAAGGGCCCCGAAACTCACCATATTCTACACTTACCACTGTGCCAGAATAAAACCTGTGTCTCTCAGTGCCTGCTGCATCATTGTCAGGACACAGTACTAAAAAAGTGTAGCACACTTCTTCAAAAAACTCAAAAAGTTATTGTTCCTACTGCACACAATTATTCACAGACACACACATGCGTGCACGCACTCTTTCAGTTTCCATGGGGGTCACTTTTGGCTTCTAAGATCAGATATTCATAACCCTGGTTCTACCTGCATTTCTCTCCTTTATCCCAATACCACATATTGATCTTCACAGAGCCATTGCTGGCTTCCCGTCAATCTTCCTGAACAAGAGGTGGGTGGGATTAGAAGAAGGGCATGAGAGCAAGCTGAGATCTCCTAATATCAGGGGTTCAGCAATCCCAGGAAGAGTGGGAATTCTATCACATCTATAATACTGAAACTTTACTACATTTACAGACTATGAAATTGAGTCAAGAAGGATACATATCAGGTATCAGCATCAATAGAACTTGAAGCTAAATCTAACTTCTAAGCCTGGTTCTACTTGCCCAGGATCTTAGCCTAGATCCTGTAAGTTCATTCCCTCTTGTGACTCTTGGCCCATGAACAGAGAAGGTTCAGACTTCCCTGGACATCGTGGGTATGGAGCCCTCCAGATCCATGATGCTCCAGCTATGCAGCCCTCTGGGTCCAGAAGCAGACTAGGGCCCCCCACCTTGATTCCACTGGTTCTGCAGCTGCACTGTGGGAGACCTGAGTTATTCACCCAGATGAGGAAGGAAGGCCTGAGAGCCTGGCACTGCCAGCCCAGCACACTGGGTTCAGACATGGTTCTGGTCTGCGACAGCACTGACTCCAAACCTCCACATGTACTGGGGTGCCAGGATTGATCCTCAGTTCCACTAGACCTTTTGTATTCCTCTCAATATTAGTTAATATATTAGAATCTCACTGAATTTATTTTCCTGGGTATGAGATTCCCTTAACTTCCACATACCTCTATAGAGCCATTGTTCACTGCCTATAGGTACTTGGCAGGCCAGTGTAGTTAACAAATAAACCCAGGGTTACAGCTAGAACACTGGGTAAATTATTAACACAAGGTTGAGAGGATGAGGGACAAAAATCCTGTGAATCTTATCAGAAGTAAGGGTGGTTGCTGTATCCTAAAGTCTTGGCTAAATGAGGAAATGAAAACTTTCCAGGTCTCTTCAACCAGGAAAGCATCTCATTCTTTAATGACACCTCAGGATCCACAGAGAACATGAATTAGACTCCACTTACATAGATGAGAGAGCCATAAGGACAGTGAGCTTGTGTGTCTCTGCTGCAGGCTGGCCAATTGTGGCCTCACCTCCAGCTGCTGCCAGGACCTGGCCTCTGTGCTTAGCAACAGCTGCAGGCTGAGGGAACTCGACCTGAGAAAGAATGAACTGGGTGACCTTGGTGTGAAGCTGCTCTGTGAGGGTTTCAGGCATCCTGCCTGCCAACTCACATTCCTACGGTAAGGACATGGGGGTCCCTTCTAGTCTGGGTGCAGAAGAAGGGCAGAGGGGAGGTTCTTGGCAGCCCTACATGTGAAGAAAAGGGACAGTAAATGCTCAGTCAGGCCAGTCCTTGCTTGCTAGGCCACTTACTTTCACACCATGTGACTTGAGCAAATCACTGTTTTCTCTGAGATTCAGTTTCCATCTCTATGTTATGGGACTATCACTTCTAACTCATGGATTGCAATGGGATGAAATGTATTTTAGTGCACAGTGTGCAGAGTCAGATATGATAGAGAGATCATGTCATTGAGGCAATATAATTTCAGAGACTCCCAGTTCTCCTCACTCAAGCACGTCTGCACTCATTCATTTGCTCATGTCATCATTCACGGTATGGCTCTTGTGTGCCAATCAGTAGGTCAAGCACTAGAGACCCAGTGGAAGGCCCTGCCCTCCTGTGGCTGACACACTGGGAAGGGGAGAAGTGTGGACGACCCATCAGCACAAAAATACATATTCATGAGCTGTTTTGAGCACTGTGAAGCAAAATACAGGTACTGTAAAGTTAAACGTTGGCACAGGTTTGAATTACATCAGTGGACCTCTAATGGGTTCAGGCCTGAGAATAAAAGGGGAGCTTAAGCACCAGAGGCTGGACAATGCTATGTGCAGCTGACACTGAGCTGGCCCCAAGCCCTGGGGTTCATACAAGCCAGAATAATCTCCATCTTCCTCATGCCTGTCTTTCAACAAGCCCCCTTTCCCCATATTGTCTCTCAAGTGTTTCTTCCACTGTCTTTCTTATCGAAGCTGATAGACAGCTACTAGCTGAGGCTTTCTGTAGCTCCTGGACAGGCCCTGCTATGTGCTCAGAGTCTGCATTTTCAGAACCCCGTACCTTCCTAAGCTGAGAGGGTCAAGGGATTCCATGCCCAGTGGCTTCCCTCGGCCAGTTCTTCACCTTCAAAGAGTAATCAGAACAGAATAATGGCATCAATAATAAAACGTGTCTGCTCGCTAATTCTCCTGCAGCTGACACTGACCTTAACAACCAGGTGAACTTTACTCCACAGCCTGCATCCTACCAAGCCCTCAGAACCATCACCTTCTCCTGCATCCCCTCTCCTCTCCAGAGCTTTCTTTGCCAGCAGATCTGTATTCAGGTCATAGCTCAACACTAAGTTGTGATACTTTGGCTACCTCTGAGAAAGTTAGCTACTATAAATCTTGTGAAGTTTGTATCCCCTTCCTGTCCTCATAAAACTGAGAGACCTTTGGACAGAGGCAAACTTACACTCTCAGGATTCCATTACCTTCCAATGGGAGCGCTGCCATGACAGAGTAATGATGATCATGGTGATTAGATGCTTTGTCCTGCCTCACAGCAACCAAGCAAAAAGGACCTATCCTCACTGAGGGACCAGGATGGACAGGCCCGGAGAGGGCTGTAACCATCCCAGATCTGATGGAAACTACAGTTCCTGAAGTCTGTAAGATGGAAACCAGGACTCTCCTTTCAATGGATCTTCTAGGTTCTTAGAATAAAACCCAGGCCCCTACTGTGCACAGCTGTTCGACATTTACTAAAGTTCTACCCAAAGTCTCTTGAGGAACTAAGAAATGCTTCCCAGCACTAGGAATGCTGCTTGCTAATGCTCACATTCTACCAACATGAACAACCTCATCCATGGTCCTGTCTCTTTCCTTGGATGACCTGTTAGAAGCCTGAGCCCTATGGATCATAAAAGCTCAGCCCCTCCTCCCAACTCAGGACAGGTCCAAAGGGTCATTCTGGGTTCAGAACTGCCTGTGAGCTGACCAGTGCCTACACTGAGTCCACCTTGAAGCTAGTGCCTTCTTCTGCGCAGTTCTGCTGCCCTTCCTTCCTCTGACCTGGTATTAGCCCAACAGCACTCCCTAGTCAGCCTCCTCAGAGCCTGATTCCCAGGGACCTGACTGAGACAGATGCCTCCAGCAGGTCTCAGAGTCCAGAGTCCTGGGCCTGAGGGCTTGAAGATCCTGTGATGTGGAACCCAAGCGAACCAAGTTTCCCTTGTGCGTGCAGGCTAGACCAGACCTCTCTGAGTGACACAGAGAAGGCGGAACTGAAGGCTCTAGAGGAAAAGAGACGTGAGCTGCTCATGTCAACACTGTGGTAAGTGTGGGGCCTGGCTGACCCAGAGCCAGGGCTGAGCCTTTACAGCTGCTCTAGAGCCAAGAGGTAGAGTCATTGGATGGTGGATAAATAGAGGTAAGAAGGAAACAAGAAACTACAGAACTAAAGTAATGTAGGGTGTTTGGGATCTTTTGTGAAAAATATCCCCTACATCTAAGGGAGAGTCAACATCTCTCTGTTATAGGAAGACACGTGATCTGACCCTTACTGAGAGATCAGATGGAGGAGAGATAGATAACAGTGCCACCTCACTCCAGGAGCAGAGACTAAACTCAGGTATTTGAAGGGGATTGGGGAGGGGCAACTGTGGTAGAATTTCCTCTTAATCAACTGACCATCATGTGCACCAGAGAAGATTTCCTACCTGGAAGAGTCCATATCATGCAAGATCATGTGCTCCAAGGGCTTAGAGAAAAATCTGTCCTCTTTCCCAGCCTCAGGGGCTGGTGTTACCTGCCTCCAGCATCTGTATCCTGTGTCAGACCCTGCCCCAGGGTCTGATGTTCTATTCTGGGTTTCTGAGGCCTGAGAAACTCTCTCTATCCATGTCCATCCATCTGTAGAGCCCAGTTTCTCTTCCATCCTTCCCACAGGCAACATGGTGGGAAGTACAAGCCTATACCAGTGGGAAGGAGAAGTAGACAGAGTGTGGGCGAGTGGGATAGTGGGATGGGTATGGTCAAAAGTGGGAAAGTGATCACAGCAGCAGAGACAGAGGCTACAAACACACTCCTGATTTACTTAGGAAAGCTAGGCTTGAGAAAAGCCCAGCATAGGCCAGCTATGAATTCCTGGGAAGACCTCATTGGACAGTCTAGAAATAAAGTGTCCTGTTCTTCCAGAGGAAGATGCCCGACTAGCATCAGACCTGGAACTCTTGCATTTGTCTGGTTCCTCACCAACCATCCTGCCCGGGGATTGTCTAGGAATAGAAAATGTCTTCTTGGGTCCCATTGGGCCTGTGAATACTGAGCTGATTGACAGAGAAAGGCACCTGTGCTGGTGAGTGAGGGGCTCTGCTACCACAAGCTGAAATTTCCCCACAGTCTCCTGACTCCCATTTTCAGACAGCATGCTTTTAATGTGTACTTTGATCGTGGGAAAAATAGGAGTATTATAAAATTTTCAAGCACACACAAAAGCTGAACATGTTAGGAATATCCTTGTTCCTTTATCTAGCTCCAGTGATCATTTTCCAAATTACTTTCAATCACTTTCTTCCTCTTCTGTTACTATTACAGTATTTTCAATCCATATATTAGATGATTTCTTAAGCTTTAACTAGGGCCTTATACAACTCAACTAACACAAATAAGGACCTTTTTTTCCTAATCCAACATAATTTTCGCCTCCTAAAAAACTGGCATTAAGTCTTTCCTGTTATCTAAATGCAGTCTGGTTCACATTTTCTCCTTTGTGGAAGGTGTCTTCTTGCTGATATTTGTCCTAACCAGCTACTGATAAGGACTGCTCATTGTATTTGATTGGTTTCTCTCCTCAATCTCACTTCAGTATCCTATAATCTGTATGTTCCTGCTTTATTAATAAGCACTAGGTGCAAAGCAACCTTTTTATTAAGAATACCTGTGAAGTCATGAGGAACATGGCAACCCTGTCCTCCAAGGTCTCCCGGTCTCATAATGAACAATTTAGCCAGAACCATGAGCTCAATCCAACAGGCTGTCACTCGTCATTCACTGCCACAGGCACTGCCTCAGCAGGGAAGAACAAGGCACTCCACCTGGACTTCGGAAGCTATCATCTGACCACCCAACTACACACCAAGTGGGGATCCTTGGGAAAAATCATTTTGATCTGTGTTCAGCTACAAAGCCTGCTCATGAGCAATAGCATGTAGGTTTAGTCACTATTCGTAAAATTCCTCTTCAAAACATAAGTATACGCTTTAAAAAATAACAACACTTTCCTATTTTGTCATGTCCATCATAATAGCATTGACCACCTGCTCCCAAGCATGTGATAATCTATTGATTTACATTACATTACTCATAACTCCCAGCTATGTAAGGTATGGTGACTACCACTTATAGATGAGGAAACTGAGATCAGGGAAGCTAAATGACTTCCTCAGAGAACAGAGGAGCCAGGACTAAACCTGTGACCTTGGGTGGAATAGGTTTAGCTATTCTGGACTACCCATAGCTGCTTTACTGTGTTTGGCATCCAGAAGGGGCTTGGTGGATTTGTGTAATTTGATATCTGCCTCTCCCTCTTTACAGTGTTCACTTCCCTGTGGCCGGCTTCTACCACTGTCCCAACATGGGTCTGGGCTTTATGGTGAGCAGGGCAGTGACCATCACCATTGAATTCTGTTCCTGGGACACTTGCCTGGACAAGACTTGTCTGCAGCACACCTGGATGATAGCAGGGCCTCTGTTTGGCATCAGGGCTGAGCAAGGAACTGTAGCTGCTGTGCACCTCCCTCACTTTGTGAACCTCCAAGGTAAAGAATGGAAATATAGGAGGATATTGGTAGGAGAAGGGCCCAAAAATGTTATATAGCATAGTATAGAGTGTGAGGAAAGAGGATGAGCAACCCAGAGCTTGCTAGCAAGGTGGAGAGGGTATGGAAGTTGGTAACTGTTCTTCATTCCCTACTTCCCCTAAACATAATTGGAACCATATGTCTCCAAGTCATACAGTTATTTCTGCCTAGACTACCTTGTAGTTTCCCAAATATAAAGCTATGTCCTCAGTGATAATTAGTAGAAGTTTATTCTGTGCTCTTTACATCCACAGTCTCATCAGGAAACATAGAATTCTCTCAGTGCCTCCATTTTAAAATATTTTCTACTACATATCTGTGTACAAATTAAGACCAGAGGAACTAATTAAAAATATTGAGTACCCAGAGTCAATCATCAATGAGAAACTATCACCTCCTGTCAGGCAGGGAGAAGACATAATGTTGCCAGATTATACTTAAGATCTGCAGTCACACAAAAATGGCTCAAAATGGACAATGGTCACAATAGCCAACCACTATTTTTCCCATAAGAAATACAAGTTCACAGTTCCAATCCTCACAGAGAACGTTCGGTACAATGGCTCATATCCATGCCAGCAGGAAGATCACAAGTTCCAGTCTGAGATACATATCAAGACAATGTCGGGGGAAAAAGTAAATATCACAAAAAAACTACAGTGTACCAGAAATGACAGCCAGCAGAAAACTGCATCATACAAATCAACCCATTAAAATTTCAGTCTCTGAAATTATCAGGAATAGAACATATATATGTGTCCAAAATACACTTAAAATTGGTAAAATATGAACATGAAGCAAGAAATAGTACAAATGATAAAATAGGAACAGATGAGATTGACAGATAACATGTTTAAAGATTACATACTTTGGAGGATACCATGATGAAAACAACTGTATAATTAATTAGAATTCTAGAATAATATGCTTGAGAGAATAGAAATGATGCAATAATAAAAGAGATAATTACCAAGAGAATTACTGTGATATTACTGTGAAATGTAAGACTTCTCAGGGTGAGAACTTAAAAAGTGCAAAGAAGAAAAGAAAAAACAAAGGGACAGAAACAAATCAACATTATAGCAAAACTTGTCAATCCCAAGTCTTAAGCAAAGGTTACTGCCTACAGAAGGAAAGCTTACCTAGGGAGCTATGTTGACTGACTCCTGAGCAGCAACAGTGGAAGGCAGAGGACAGTGGAAAGATGTCTTCATGGTCCTGAGCAATAACTGTCCATCAAGAACTGTGAATTGCAAAAATACAATTATTTTGAGTTAAAAAGATCTTTACAGTAAATTAAAAGCAGAGAGATTACCAAAAACAAATACTTCTTGAACAAAAGTCTTAAATATGTACCTAGAGAAAATGGAACATGAACTCCGAAGTGCAAGGTAGAATAATAAGCAAAGACACTGAATCATATACAAGTGAAGCTAATGCTCATTGACTGCATAAAGCAACAGCATCGATTTCTTTAAAAAGAGTAATTTGCAAAGGGCTTCACACATAGTCTCTGTTCTCAAAGAGCTATTTATGAAGAAATATCTTAAAGGAAATATGTAGGTACTGTTTAGAGAACAAAAAGAGCCTTCTATCATTAAAATATTTATCACGTTATTTCTGTATTATAACATCAATTCCTGGGGTCATTGGCATTTAAATGCATGTCTAGGTGTTTGCCTATCCCAGAAACATGGTAAATGCAGCATATTTTCCAGGAAAAATCAATCAATCTGTGGTAAGGACTGAGGCAAAAATGTCCATGAGTTATCAAATATTGCTATTGTTTATCACACATCCAAACTTGTTTCCAACTGTCCCTTTATCTCAACTTCACCTCGCTGAACTCAAGGTCCTGGATAGCAGCACATACTTATTCAAGTCTTAGACAACCCTGACAGACATGCCAGGAAGTAGCAGCTTCCTAAGGGGGAGCCATGACCTCCACAATGGCAGATGCCATGGTGCTTCCCAATAGAAGAGTTTCAATGGTGGCCAGACATTTGATCAGTGGAGTCTGCCCTTGGTCACTCCATCTTCCCACAGCCCCTCCCACCTACAGTTCTCTACCTGCTTAGAGTCAAACCTGCCCACACCACTTACAAGGAGAGTCCACAGCAGCACAGGGAACCACAGGTTCTGTGTCTGGTCAGCTCTAAGGCCTGGGACTGGCTTATCTATGAGTTTGACTCAAGGCCTAAGGTGTCTGTGATAGTCCCACTCCAGAGACCAGATGGTCCACAGCATCTGAGGCCCTTCTTCCTTCCCTACCATAGTCTCTATAGGCTGCTATAAGAAAATAGCATATCCTAGGCAACACTATATTTTTGCCAGTCCTGGGGCTGGGCACTGTCCCTGAGCCTCTCTGTTCTCAAAGCTAGCACTCTACCATTTGAGCCACAGCACCACTTCTGGCTTTTTCTGTTTATGTGATACTGAGGAATCCAATAAAAGGCTTCATTCATGCATACTAGGCAAGCACTCTATCACTAAGCCCTATTCCCAGCCCCTAGATAACACTATTAATATCATATGGATTTATCAAATTGTTAAAGGCTGAGATCCAAGATGGTGATGTCTGTAGATTCAGTATCTGGTAAGCATTCTCCCAAGCACAGATGCTGTCAACCAGCTGCACCTTCACAGGGAAGTTTTTGGAACTCTTTCATATGGCCATGCATACCATTCACTAACATCTCCATGTCCTGATCACCCCCCAAAGCTCTTGCCTAACCCCATCATATTGGTGGGTAGGGGGAGTGAAGGGTTGGGATTTCCACATGGAAATTTTAGGAGGACTCAGTCATTCAGACTATACACTGGGTCCCAGGGAAGATCTCTGATCCTAAACTGTGAGATCCTACTGTCCCCGCCAAGCCTGATGGGACCTGAAGTGCACAACTCTCAAATCTGTTTTATGTGGCCCACTTTAAAGAGGAGGGCATGCTGCTGGAGAAGCCAGCCAGGGTGGAGTCACATTGTGCAGTCCTGGAGAATCCCAGCTTCTCACCAATAGGAGTTCTACTGAGGATGATTCCTGGCGCCCGGCACTTCATCCCCATCATCTGCACCACATTGCTGTACTACTACCTGAGTCCTGATGAAGTCACCTTGCACCTCTACCTGGTCCCCTGTGACTGCAGCATTCAGAAGGTGACACTGACAACCAGGAGGAGCGGGGCAGGGTGGGCGCACAGGAAACAGGTGGGAAGGAGCATGGGATTCTCTCTCCCAAGCAGGAACCTGCACAAGGGTGACCAGTCCTGTTCTTTGTTTAGCCATGGTCCATGCCCCTCACACAAGGGTTCTCCCAGCTGTGTTCCCTGCCCCATCATTGATCTCTTGGTTACTATTTGTGGCATCTTTCCAGGAGCAAAATGAACAAGAAAGCTCCATGCCCCAGATTGTAGCTTTTCCATCCTCTTCCTCCTTCTGTCAGTGACCCTATTCCCATCTAACATGGCAGAGGCCAAGGGTGGTCTCTCCAATTGTCAAATTATGGAAGAAGGGGAATGAGGGTACAGAGATGTGATAGCCATTCTTTACCCAAATGAATGTACTAATGCACTGATGTGCTTGCTCTCTCTCTCCTCCTTCAAACTAGAAGCTGTGGGGCAGAAATCTCCCTAAATCATTATTCTGTACACTTCTTAGGCCATAGATGAAGAAGAAGAAAAATTTCAATTTGTAAGAATACACAAGCCACCCCCACTGGATGCCCTGTACCTGGGTTCTCGCTATGTTGTATCTGGATCTGGGAAGATGGATATCATCCCCCAGGTGAGCAGCCAGGCATCTGTCCCTTGCTAGGATCATGGTGTGCCTGGAAAAACTTGTGTGGAAATCTCAGGCATACCCATGGCCTGTTGGGAAGAAATGAGGCAGGACAAAATGTGAGGAGGGTGTTGAGTTGAGTGCTACAAAAATAGGAGGAAAATGGTTCACAGGAAAATTAATCACCTTCATGATTTGGAAGAAGAATTTGCTTGGGGGCACTGGCAGTGTCTGGGCTAGCAGTTGGTAATGCCTGCCAATCAGAATGCACCGTGAGCACACCTGTATTTGAACCCCCCTGGTACATTATTTGTTACAGAAGAGAAAGCATGCACAGGGAATTGGAGCTTCTCAGTTAAACAATGTTTAAAAAAGTAGGAATTGTAGGATTTTGTCTATTTTTGGGTGAGTTTAAGTCTAAGGAAAGAGCTGAACTCTAGGTTGTGCATTTTCAGAAAGTAGAACAACTCCATTTTAGAAATCTCAACAATTTTTACCTCTTAGAAGAGTACATTGACGCAAACAGAAAGTTGTAAATGTGGCAACAGTCACTACATACAGTGCGATTTGAGGGTGAACTGCCCATATCTTATGCCTGTCTCCTAACGCATGTGGAGTGGATGTATGTCCATTCTTCAGTACAGGCTGAGCTGCAGGCTCAAATCAGTCTTTACTGGCACTGAAGTTCAGTTGTGTGGCTTGCATTAATTCCTTTTTGCTTACTCTTGTCCATATCTCTCACATACACACTCTTTGACCAAAGGCTGAGGAGAGTGGACCAATAGGTTTGAATCTAGGATTTCTCCATTTTCAACCCTGTCTGGGTTTGCTGCTCAGAATCAGAGAAGCATCATGGCACAGTGTATAGATGAACCAGGGCCAGATGAGTGTGACATGACAGAAGCTGAGCAGTAGCATCTGAGACTCGAGACAGGACGCTTCACACAACTATATCACAGGCAGTGGGCAACGAACAGGGCAGCTAGTCTTGTAACTCACAAGAAGTCTGGAAGCCAAGGACCCAGATCATAGAACTCTATCAGTAAAAACATATCCCAAATCAACTGGGTCCATTAAAGAAAAAAATGCCACCACCATTTTTTTCATACCAGTTATAAACTATCCCATTTGCAACAAATGTAAGTACAGCAAGTATTGACTCTAGTGAAAATCTTCCCAAGAATAGCTGTTAGAGTTTTTCTTTAGGGTATGATGGAGAATGACAGACCTGATGGTCAGCTAGCTTCAGAGCAGCAGCTATAGTCTGGGAATGACAACAGAATTTTGTTCTTCTTGAAATCACAAAAAGAAGCATACTACTTGCTTTTATGTTTTGTTTTATTTTTTGTTGTTGTTTTATGATGGTGCTGATCCTGGGGCTTGAAATCAGGGTCTGTGTGCTGTCCCTAAGCAATCTTTGCTCAAAGCTAGCACTCTACCACTTGAGACACAGCTCTACTTCCAATTATTTGGTGGTAAATTGGAGTTAAGTCTCTCATATACTTTTTTGCTTCCTTCAAACAATGATTCTCAGATTTCAGCCTCCTGAATCACTAAGATTAAAGGAGTGAGCCACTTGTGCCTTGCCCATATACACATTTTGGGGGGGGGGGTCCAGTCATGGAGCCTGAACTCTGGGCCTGGGCGTTGTCCCTCAGCTCTTCAGCTCAAGGCTAGCACTCTACCACTTGAGCCACAGCGCCACTTCCCGCTTTTTTCTTTTT